AGGAGGGTAAATGTTCTTTTGATTTTCTGACATCTCCACCTATTTAAGGCATTCTAGGCCAGGCTCATTCATATGTTTGTAACATGTTTGATCACAGTCTTCACCAGCAATCAAGGAGAGAACTCTTTCTTTAGAGAGATTCCCAGTTATTATTACAAATAACATCTTATCATCACAAAATCTCCATAGGGGACAGGGGAACACTCAACACAGATGACGCTGTTTCTTCTCATTCACATAAATTCCCCCTTCCACTGGCCCACCCCAGCACATACCCGGCACCTCTCTCTCCTCTCACTTACCATCTATCAACTGTCTGAAAGGTCTTCCCATTCCTCCTCCCACTTTCTTTTGTTGCCTTTAATCCACTACCTTTTTCCCTAGTTCCTTTCCAAAACTGCCAGTTGCTTTGCTCATGGTTCCTCATTAGATCTGAAAATCTTTAAGCAACTATTTTGCTTTCTACTCAACTTGCATTCAACTCCTTTCCCCATCTCTTCTTTCATACTGCTGTTGCCATCACCTTGGACTCATTTCATATTCACAAATATTATCAGGATAATAAAACAAAGAATCTAAATACATTAAAAAGTATTTCTCATGCTGCTTTAGCATGACAAAATCATTATTACTCAACTTCAGGACTTCATTTAGCTACTCTTCTCTGTTCATCTTCCATTGTTTGACAGTTTCTATTGTACTTAACAGATCATTTACTTAATTTTTTTAGGGTTTTTCTTTCTCATCCATCATGTTCATTATTATTAATCAGGATTACATGTTCTCCAGGGAAAACCAGAATATTTTCTAAGGAATAATGCCCTTGCAGAGTATCATTATAAATTCCCATCACTATATACCAGAAAGTCACAGACTTCTAAGTCTGACCCTGAATCCCCACCACATCGTTTCTGGCACTGTATTTCACAGAATCATGAATAGTCTGGGTTGGAAGGGACCTTTAAAGATCATCTAGTCCAACCCCCCACCTGTGTGGACAAGGACATTTTTCATTAGATCAGGTTGCTCAAAACACTCCTCTTTAATTCTGTGTTTGTTAACAGATATAAGAACACAACACTTCCGCTTACATATCCCTTACACACACATCCCTTCCTCTTCCCTCCATGGTCATTCACATCAATTCCTCTCTTTTAGAATGCCATTCTCAAGCATCATCTTTGACTTGTCCTTTCATCTATCCCCTTGTCAGTCTTATACGTTATCATACCCTTTGCCATCTTCTATCTGTTTAATATAGTTTCCTATAATAGATCTTCTGATGTCCAGTTTTGCTTTAAATGCACTAGTAGCATTAGAGGAAATTAAAATTACTAGGCACTCTTACTGGTTCACTCAACATGAATAAAAACATTTCCATCTGCTACAGAGCAAATCATTTCAATCTTTGACAAAACAAAAAACCCTCTGAAATCAGTAAGAGCATTGAGCCAAAATGAAACAAAAGGGTTTTGATAAGAAATGGATACTATTGCTTGTACGTAACTGAGAGAATACTCATCACTATTCAAGCTTTAACTTGGAGTCATGCATGGATGAAAAAAAGATATGGATGAAAACAGATAATTATGGCAAAAAGTCACAAATAATTATAGCACACAGCCATACATACTATTTCCCAGTCTTTATATTTAGCAAAGTTTCCTCAAATATCCAAGATAAATACATCTATTTCATAACCAACCAAAACAGTAACAAAAAGGATCCTGAATTCTCTTTATCAAAGCCAAATTCTAGGGCAAACACTGGGACACTTAGGTCCTCCCTGACTTTAGATACCAGTGAATCTTAAATATAACATAACGAAGGGGGTATATTCTAGCAGACCAGGGAAGCATCTGCAGAGCCCTTCTGACGGTCACACAGAGGGAAGGTTATCACTGGCACCATCACAGCAGACTGACATTTCAAGCCAGTGTTTGAGCTGTCATGAAGCATCAGATGACATGTTTTTATTTAAGCACGAATGATTTTGAAATAGAAATGGGAATTTCACCAAGTTGCAGGTTGAACAAATTGATTCTGTACGATCCATTTTTCACTTTTGCTCCAGAGAGGAAGTTTAAGAAATTCACACTACATGGAGAGTCAAAGAAATTGATGGTTTCATACTAGCACTATATCACTGCCAGAAGCTCAAGCTAAACCAATCACTTTTTAAACTAGAAATGGGCCTGAGACATGATGTTCTGATCTCAATCTGAACTTCACAAAGTTCATGGTGGTTATGTTAGGATTTGGCATTTGACTTAGGATCTTCTCCACTTTTAACAGTGAAGAAAAATCTTTTAAAGCAACAGTGGACTCTCCTCTATCAAGTTTAATAGAAATCAATGAATCAGCTCGATCCAATCTCGTTTCAACATTTTAAGTAGTCTAAATAGGTGTCTTTTAGCACTGCAGTTATAATAAACCTCTCTAAGTCTCTCTAGGAGTCGTTCTAGTATGGATGTGAATTCCAATATGAACAGGATTTGAGGACATCCCTAGACATATTTGCCTGGTAATTACTGGCTAAAGCACAAACTTGAGACAAGGAAAGATTTTCAGAACAACAGAGCCCTCTAATGGATTAATGCTGTACTACAGGGTTTTTCTTCAGTGCTGCAGTAAAAATTATTCCATTTTCAACTTGAAAATAAAAGACAAGAGGTACCAACAGAAGAATTACAGACTATGAAAGCTTAAAGACAGAAACTATTTTGATTCCCAAGTAGCCAGAATTTGCATAAAGAAAGAGACATTGTTCAAATGGAGGATCTAAAACAAAACCTCTTAGGACCACCTGATATTTTTAAGTAAATAAGCTTTGGGAAGAAGTTGGTTTTGCACCATTGTTTGTAATATTCATACACACAGAAGAAGCTGACAGGCTGGCAGCATGTCTAACCTTCATTCTGTTTCAGGGTTTGATTTTGGTTTGCCTTCTGCCACACTGCAGTCAGTGATCTCTGAAGAGCATCCATGTAGTAGAAGGGAATAAACATCTAGTAGAATGGCTCTGTAAGGGTGTGCTTTCATGATCAGCTAAAGCAAATCTGAAATCAATGATGTTGAAAGGGCAGAGCTGATACAACTTACCATACAGCTGCACAAGCAATAGAACCAACACACACGTACACACAAAATAAGACTTTTTAAAAAATCTGTAAGAAAGGAAATAGATTGAGGGGGGAAGAGCAGCCTTAGATTACTTTAGATAGTCATAATCTGCACTCTGAAAACATGTAACACAGCAGTCAACAACCCTTCAACAGTGAATGGCTCTGGAATAGTTTTGTATCAACATACACAGTCAGAAAAACTGACTCAGCATGGTGGGTAGGGCTGGGGAAGCCCCATATCAAAACAGAAATATCGAAGAACTACTTGAGGCAAAAAAGGTGCACATAATGCTTATATGAAGGTAGAGTAAGAAAGAAGGAAGAAAGCAAAAATTGGATGCCTGATACTGAAACTCTCAAGAGGGACATAGCTAGTTTCAAATGACATAGCACTCTGGAAGAGAAATTTCTCCACAGGTGTGTATACCTCATTGAAGTACCACATTTGCCCCTTAATCAAGAAGCTTAGAACACCCATAAGGGAGCACTCGAAAGTATTCAGGGGCTTAAGATGAATACAGTATTGATCCTAAAGGTAAAAGCGGCTCATTACAATGAACATCCACAAAGAGAGGACTCTCATGGGTGAGAAAGCATTCCAGGGATTCTCACTGATAAAATACCTGGAAACCCCATGACAGAACTGTAACATTTAGCACTGCAGCACAGTATGGGTAATCCCATAGGTAAAGACTGCAAAGTAAGTTGGTCAACTTAATTCTTTCTACTAGAATGATGTAGAAGAGCCTCAGTGAAATACAGG